TGGGTGCCTTGGGAGGAACGGTTGGTGAAAGGGCTGGAGGGAGGCAGCATGTCTGGCCTTGCAGTAATAGGCCTTGGGTTACTGCTGGTAATCCTGCCTTCCCCTTGTAGGGTTAGAGGAGGTCAGAACATGTGGCCTCCTTGTCGTTTTTGCAAAAGAATTAGTCCTAGCAACTGGTACACCATATGATCCTCAGCCTATACGACTATGAGACCAGAGGAACTGGATGGTGCCCAGCTATCACTGTCATCCACTCAGAGGGGGATCTATGTAGGAGATCCTGGATAGATGGGAGAACAATGTGGAACAAAACTCAAAATTATTTGGAGAAAAAAAAAGGGGGACCAGGTTTGCTGGTCTGACAGAGCCTGGTGGAACCACTGAGACTATGGCCCCTAGCTGCCCTTCAAGTCTGGAATTGAACCCACACCTGTGGCTTCCAGCCAAGCAAAAGACAGGCATAGGAGTTGAACATTTACCTCAGGTAGATACACTCCTTGGAGAGATCAATCATGGGAGAAAGAAGGACTGTTTATGCACAGGGAGACAGCTCAGGGGGCAGGGGTGCATGGAGAGATGGATACAGGGAAGAGGTGACTGTTGGGAGGAAGTGGAAGGGGAGCTGTTACATTGTGGTGAATGTCATGAGACAAAGTGTGTGTGAACTGCTGTATGGAAAGTGAATTTGCTCTGTAAACTTTCACCCAAATCACAATTAAAAAAAAAAACAGGCAAAGGACTTGAACTGATACTTCACCAGAGGATTCCTGCATGACAAACACACACGTGAAAAGCAGCTCCTCATCACCAGTTGTCATTGTGCCCTGTAGTCGGCTCTGACTCACAGTGACCCTTACAGGACAGAGGAGAAATGCCCTATTAGGGAAATTCAAATTACAAGCCCTGCACAGCTTGCAGAATGGCTAGAATAAAAACCTGACAATTCCAAGTGCTGACAAGGGTGCGGAACAGCTGTACCACTCATTCTCTGTTGTTGGGAAGTAAAATGTCCCAGTGTTCTGGAATATAACAGCTTGGCAATTTCTTAGAAGGTTAAGAACACACCTAACATATGACTCAGTCATCCCACTCCCAGGTGAGCACCCTGGAGAAGTAAAAGTTTATGTCCACACAAACACCTATACAGATGTTAGGGCAGCTCTACTCACAATCACCCCTCTGGAAAGGGTGAACTGTGGTTCACCACAAAAGGGAGCACTGCTCTGCAGGGAAAGGAATGGAGAATGGGTAACCACCCACGGGCGATCCCTGTCCTGGTTCCCTGGTGCCGCTCTGACAGGAATACACCACAAATGGGATGGCCGTAACAAACAGGAGTTTATCCTTACAATTTGGAGGCTTAAGTCCAAATTCAAAGTGCCAGGCCCTAGGGGCTGGGTGAAAGCCCCTCAACCTTGGGCTTCAGCTCTGCCTCCTGCTTCTGGCCCACTGGAGCGAGAGGCTTTTCTTCACTCAGACAGCTGTGGCTGCTGAGACTGACAAGCCAAGCTTGACAAGTAAAAAGGCACAGTTCCAATGTAACCAAACCACACAGCAGGCCATTAACTCAAGTCCATTAAAAGTCCCAAGGTCAGCAGAGCATGGCAGGCTGCTGAACAACGACACGGCTAGATGCAGGGTTCAGGTGTGCCATGAGCTAGAGACCATTCCCAAAGCTGTTTCTTATATATGAGAAGCAGAACATATACTCAAAGGCAGCTAGTTAGCTGCTCACAGTAGATTCTGCCATGGAGTTGATTACTAGTCTCATCATGGGGAATAACTACATCCAGCTGCCCAGCCCCTCCACCAGCCAAGCTGACACACAAACTTAACCACCACAATCCGTAAGGGCCTGTGCCAAGTGGAAGAAGCTGCGCCGGGGCTACATTCTGCATGACTGTAGTCACAGGACAAATCTGAAGAGAGACCCACAGGCTAAAGGCCATTGGGGCTGGGGGAGGCTACACGTGTCCTATGATGTGTATACATGAATCATGTTTATTTAACACACGAATCTACATGTGTGAAATATTCAGAAGGGTACACCTATCCAAAACATCCATCTTACCATGTAATAATCAGAAACAAAAAACAAGCCACACATTGGCCAAATCTTGAGATGTTGTTGTTGTTGTTATGTGCCATCGAGTCGGCCCCGACTCATAGCGACCCCTCCTTGGGTTTCCGAGGCAGTATCACTACGGAAGTAGGATTGCCCAACCTTCCTTCCGAGGAGTGGCTGGTGGGTTTGAACCGCCAGCCGTCTGGTTAGCAGGCAAGTGTCTTAGCCACTATGCTACCAGAGCTCCTGGGCCCTGTATGGATGGCCCCCATAAGACTGTAGACGCCATGAGGGTAGGCGTAGATCCCCTCAGGGTACAGACTCCATCAAAGTATAGACCCCATCAGGGTGGGTGTAGACTCCATCAGGGTATGGACCCCATCAGAGTAGGTGTAGACCCCATCAGGGTAGGAAGAGACCCCATCAGGGTGGGTGCTGGCTCACTGAGTGAACCAGATGGGGAGGGAGTGTAATGAAGCAGACTTGATGACCCATTCGATCCAAGGCCTTGAGGAGATGGCACCCTCCTTGCCCAGCTCCAGGCACAGTGTGCATCAGGGGGAGACAGCATGTGAAGCTGTGACTGGTCGGTCATCCACTCACCAACAGGGAGTGTCTCACCCAGACAGCAGAGGCCCAGAAATGCCATGGCCACACTAAACACACCCCCAGTCCCTGGCCAGAGGCACTCTCCCCTTCCTCAGACGTGGTCAGGTGTAGCTGAGAAGAAAACTGCCCCTGCTGGGCCACCTCTTACCCAGCTCCCAACCCCACCCAGTCCTGCTGCCCTGCCCTCCCCATCTCATCCTGTCCGCCTGCCCAGCCTCCACATGCTCTGTTCAACACAGCAGGTTCGTCTCTTCACAGTGGAGGCTTCTGGGAGGGCTCCCTGGACCTTCTGCCCACGTCTGTTGGGGTCCAGCTTGGCTGCCAAGCACAGCTCTGGCGGGGCTGGGTGTGCAACATCACTGTCCACACGTCACCTAACTTCCCACCACTTACCCAACCAGGAAAAGCAACTTACCTGGAAAAGGATGAAGATGAGAAATAGCTCGTAGACCACACTCACGCAGAGCCAGAACCTCCAGTAAGCTACAAAGACAAAGACAATGTGGCCACGTCAGAGGGCCAGGCTTGTGTCCGCCGAGGCCCCTGCTCCATGCTGACAGAGCCTCCCAGCCTCTCATAGGTCCCTTCTGGGTCTGGAGTCCACGCCCACTCACAGATGACCCCAAGTCAGAGCAGAACTGGGGTCCACTGGGTTCTCAAAGGCGGGCTTTTCAGAAGCAGACCGCCAGGCCTTGTTTTCTGAAGTGCCTCTGGTTGGACTTGAACCCCCAACCTTTCAGTGAGCCACTGAGAACATTAACCGTTTGACCCCACGCACCGCTCCTATACCTGGTAGAAGTCTTTATTCAGCAAGGTCCAGTTCCACGGACCTCACAGTCTCTCTGGAATGCCTTTCCTTCAGGCTGTTCTGACCCAGGCCACCGCAGTGGCTCGGACAGCACGCCTGTCTAGTCGTGAGAGGCAATGCCTCTACCTCCTCCTCAGCAGCTGTGTCTGCCATGGGTCCCGACAGACCCCTTCATCACATTAAGAAAACATCCTTCCATTCCTCTAAGCTCTACTGAGAACAAGTGTGAACTGGATTGTTCAGCATTTGAGGATTACTTACTGTTTTTGTTAATGGGATGAGTTGCCATAAAAGACTATTCTAACTGGCCTCCTCAAGTGCCTGGGACGTACCTGACCTGGTCATGACGAACCTTTGCAGCAAACTGTCTTTAAGATGGAGCTCACACCCCCAGACAGCACCCCAAGAGCTCACCCCCCAAGCTTCTGTGTGGCCGGCCCTCCCTGCCTCTCTTATCCTGTCATGAAGTGCTGACCCTTCACAGAGGTTGATGGGAAGGCGCCTGGAGCTGTTCCCCCAAGCAGACGACAACTGCAACCTTCCAGAGCCTCAAGCTCGGTCCCTTTTGCTTACCCTACGTGTAAAGCGGATTTGCCTTAAACAGGAAGGGCGGTGCTCATGCAGACTTCAGAGACCCTGGGCTGGGACAATGGGCCACCCTGCTCCATGGAAATCCTGGGGGTAAGGGTTCCCGTCCACTACCTGCAGCCCCAGCTTTGGGGGCCACAGAAGAAGGGAAGGTGCCAGACCACAGGCAGCAGCGGAGTCCAGCACAGCTGGGAGACAGCTCCCTTGGCAGGGACTCTCCAGAGGTGTGGGCACACGAGGTACACGGCCCGTAGGCAGGGGCATCAGGACTGCACTGGGGCTTGTGCCCAAGCCACCTGGGGGAGTGAGGGAAGCAGAGGCATGCCGAGCTCTCAGGGGAGTTTACCAGCTGCTCTGGCTGCCAAAGAGACAGAGCGCTGAGTCCCAAACCTGCTCCTTATGCCCTTGTCCGGAAGGTTCTCAGGAGCTCAGACATACAGCTATGGCTGCCTCTTCCACTCTGAGCGCATGCTGCACCACCAGGACAGCCCACCGCAGGGCCAGCGCCAGCACTCTGGGTTGCCACCTCCACTATGTCACTCTCTCCCCAGGGCTGCTCGTGACCTCACACTGCCCACCTCAGCCGACCGTGGGGAAATGGCTGACGCCTTGACACTCCATGCATCATACCCAGGGCTCTGCCTCCTGTACCCCAGTGTGAGCCCCTCAGCTCCCATGAGCTGCTCTGGCAATAGAAGCTGGTCCTCCATGCCAGTGCTACTTGTCCTAAAACCATGGCTGACAGGGAAAGGGCCCCAGGGGCACCCAGCTTTCAGAGGGAACCAGACAGGAACCATGTATCTTTCTGTGCGTTCCTTCAACGCCTGCCCCGCCCCTAAGCACTACCTTGCTGGGTTTGCAAGTACAGAACGCCCGGAGAGCTTTGGCTTGGAGCACGCTGCCTGGCTGTGGTGACGACTGTACTTCTCTCATTCCCTGCCGCGGCACTACATTGCTCAGGGCGGATTCTCAGCCACCTAGTCACTTGAAACACCCGTGACTGGAGAAGTCTGAGAACTTCCTGCTGACCACCAAGCTAACCGGACCCCTGAAGTCGGCAGTGGGGTCAGGCCAGGCTCCTGTGTAACCATGCCAACAAATCAAAGCCATCCAATCACCTGACGCTTATCCAGGGCACACTAAGGGGGGCAGAGCCGGACTTCAGGGGCCCCTGTACCTGCAGGCCTCCCCACAGGCATCCCCCAGCAGCAACATCCCCCGGTGTCCACCGACCAGCCCCGCTCTGGAGGTAACTGAGGACCCAGGACACCCACACCCTCTGACCCTGGGACTGCAATGTCACGGGACACGCACACAGAGACTCAGGCCAGTATTATGAGAAATTGGACAGCAGGGGCTGGTCATACACCCCAGGCACTCCGGGGACGGTGGCCCTGCAGCCCTAACACCCATGCTGCACACAAGAGGTGTGACGGTGGTCTTTCTCCTACATAAGTACAGCCTAAGAGGAGACAAAGGACACATGTCAAAGCTTACGTAGTTAACACCAAGGAAATCTGCCCCTCACAGCTGGTCTGTGGCCAGGTCTAGGGGTGGAAACCCATGAGGGAGAGAGTGGGGCCAGTGGGGGGATCCCAGGGGATGGGACCTGGGGGACCCAGGCAGCGCCCACCATTCTTCAGCTGATCTCTCATAGCATCTGGGGCCCAGGGTTTGTTAGACTCTGCCATGGCTTTGCAAACGTGGGGGGTGGCAAAGAGCTCAGTGCAGTGGGCCTCTGTGAAAAAACCCCAAGTAGCACCCCAGTGCACAGACCCAGGGCCCATGTGGCAGCCCGCTCTCAGATCTGGTGGGGAAGCAGTGGGAGCTCAGGGGGCGGGCAGTGGGCTCTGCAGCTGCAGGGTCCTGGCCACCCCAGGAGGGGCTGGGAAGAGGGACAAGGACGCTCACACTGCAGCACAGACACAGCGACCTCAGAGGACAGACGGCTGTGCGGCAGATGAGAAAGAGGACAGGTTACCTGGGTGAGGTCTGGAAAACGGCCCGTCTTTAGCTTGGGTGACTCCAAAACATAAGAAAACCAAAATACTGGCCACAACTCCTCTGCAAACAAAGAACAGACACCTCAGTGTGGTCAACGTGGCAGTGGAGCCACCCTCCAGGTGGGACCCCAGGGACTCCAGGGCGGGGACAGCCCCCCAGGAGGATGCTGGGCTCAGCTGACCCCATGACACCCAGGGCGGCCTTTACAGCTTCCCGGGAGGGGGGTCAGCCAGGCCAGGAACATCTGTACAGACTCTGTCCCGTGGGGCCCGTCCCCACAGGGACACCTGTAATTCACAAAACGATGAAATGAAGTATTGTGACTGCTCTGCACAAGACAGGACGTGCATAGGAGGAGGAGGGACAGGACCAGGAGCAGTGCAGCAGTGGTGGGACCCGGGGATGGCCCCGGACGGCACAACGTGGATGGAGCAGGGCGCATGGATGGGGCTGGGGAGGTTGTCAAGTCACATGGACAAAGCTGGAGAGAGGTCAGGTCACATGACTGGGGGTGGAACGGGGACAGGTTGCATGAATGGGCTTGGGGGGCCGTGCCACACAGAGGCAGGGGCAGGTCTTATGAATGGGGTGGACACGGAAGTCAGAACGACACAGGCGCCACCCAAGTGATGTCAGCAGAGGCACTCATGGCAGAGCGCCACACCAGTGCCAAGACATGTCCCAGCGTGAACAAGTGTGCAGGGCCCAGGAAGACGCCTCGGCTACCTGGCTGGCTGCTGTCACCCCACCACCGGCTGTCATTTAGGCAGCAGAGCTTGGGCATGGCATGCAGCTCAGCCAATGTCCCTCACACACATATGTTCTGCTGTGCCTGGCCATGTGTGGCCTTACTGCTCAGGCCAGTGTCTGGTTCCTGGTCCAGTGTCTGGTCCCTAGGCCAGCTGGGCCACATCGGTGTCTCACTGCTGCTGGTAAGTGCACTGCTACGCCAGCTGTTCACCACGCATGTCTGTGTGTGTCGTGGAGAACACGGGCAACACCTCTGATGGGTGTCGGGACACAAAGTACGCCCCGTCTCCTGGATCCCACCAGCGCTGAGAACGAGGAGGTGGATACCCTCCACACAGGCCTTTGGGTTGAGGGCTGGGGCTGGCGGTGGGGGGCTCTCAGTGACCTGTGGGCCTTCACCAAGATGCTGCTGCCCCCCCAGCTGCCCACTTGGCAATCCCAGTGGCTCTACCCTGGCTGCAGTTGCTCTGCTCTCACTGCAAAGGCCTGGCCACCAGGCTGTCTCCTGCCCAGTGCTCAAACACATCTGGAGCGTAGGAGAGAGGGATCCCGCCCAACATCTTGTCCTCCGAAGCAGTCCATGCCAGGACTGTAGCTGAAGTGAGGACATCCCAGCATTGGGTGTCACTGACCTCCAGGGCCCCTGGCTGCCCATCCCCATCACAGCCCTGTGCCCGCTGCCACGACTACAGCTGTGTTCCTGCCCTTCCCTGGCAGGTGCCCATGCCTGCATGAGGGTCACATGTCCATGCAGCTCATTGGCGTGCTGGCCCTCTTCAGTACGCACTGGCCACAATGCCTGTCCGGCTGCCTTGCTCTGCCCTCACTCCTCTGGGCCCCCGGCCTACCCCGACACCCGCCTGACCACTCCACCCCAGGGGCCTCCTTTGACAGTAAGGTGTCATCACACCTACAACTTCAACAGGTTCAGAAGTACGGCATGAGACACAAGGCAACAACACACAGCAACAACTATGACCTGAGGAGGGGTGCCAGCATCCATTACCCCCTCAACCTTTCTTGGGGTGGAAAGTTCTCAAAATGGCAGACTGCGGACAAATCATGTAGGCCCAGCACCACCCATCCCTCTGCAACGAACATGACTCCTGGCTGGTGCCTGTGACTGCCTCACCCCTGTAGACAGGGTCTGTTGACTCCAGACAGCTCTCAGACCTGGGCCTCTCGCCTCTGCCCCCTGCACCAGGGCCCAAGAGAGTATCACCGCTCGTCCGTAAGATTCCCCCGGGAACTTCACACCAGTGGCCTGGGAGCGTGCAGTGCCAGGGCCTGCCAGTTGAGCAGACTTTTAAAAGAAAGCAAACAAATCTCATTTGAAATAAATTCTTATCTTAGACAATGCTAGGTTTACAGAACTGCAAAAACGGGTGCCCCTGCACTCCATACCAGTGTCTATGTGAAGGAGAACACAGGGTCCCCCCTATGCTCCACACCCAGTGTCCATGTGAAGGAGAACACAGGGTCCCCCCTGCGCCCCACACCCAGTGTCCATGTGAAGGAGAACACAGGGTTCCCCCTGCGCCCCACACCCAGTGTCCATGTGAAGGAGAACACAGGGTCCCCCCTGCGCCCCACACCCCGTGTATATGTGAAGGAGAACACAGGGTCCCCCCTGCACCCCACACCCAGTGTCCATGTGAAGGAGAACACGGGTCCCCCCTGCACCCCACACCCAGTGTCCATGTGAAGGAGAACACAGGGTCCCCCCTGCACCCCACACCCAGTGCCCATGTGAAGAACACAGGGTCCCCCCTGCACCCCATACCCAGTGTCCATGTGAAGGAGAACACAGGGTCCCCCCTGCACCCCACACCCAGTGTCCATGTGAAGGAAAACACAGTGCTCCGGGCCCACACCCAGTTTCCACGTCTCCACCCGTCTGGCACGTTTGATACCTGATGACTGACTAAATGAGTATTCAGATTTCCGTCGTTTTCCCCAAATACCCTTTCTCTGCTCCAGGGACCCTGTGGGACCCCACAATGCATTCAGTTGCACGTTGCCTTAACTCCTCCAGGCTGATTGTGGCTGTTCCTGCTCGTCTTCCCTTTGGCTCTGTACCCATGTGCTGTGGCTGTGCTGTCTCTGAGTGTGTCCTTACACGATGGCACCAAAAGCCACTCCAGGTGGCTTTGTGCCTTCCTGCCCCAGCCCAATTCACCCTTGTCTCCACGGAGCCCTGGATCCTTGAGGAGAACAGTGGGGGTTTGCTCACTGCCCTGGGAATCAGTGCTTCCTGGCCCTCAGAGGACAGCAAGGAGGCTGTGTGTGCACTAACCTGTGTGTGTAGTCATGCTCACAAACGTTCCCACCTGCACAGATATTAGGCAGAACGAGACTCTCACACTAATCCTGAGAACGGGCTTCCAGCAGTCACCATCCACTTATTCCATGGTCAGTTGCAGCAAGTGTACAGTGCTTTCAGACACATTCTATTAGCTCGGGCCCTCAGCCTGGGAGCCCCTGGGTGGTGCCAACGGCTAAGCACAGGGCTACGAACCCAAACATTGGCAGGGTGAGCCCATCCAGAGGTGCCTCAGAGAAGACGCCTGACAAGCTACCACAAAACAGCCACAGCCCTGAGAACCCCGTGGAGCGGTCCCCCTCTGTACACGTGGGTTTGCCAAGAGCCAGAACCAACCTGAGGGCCACCGGAAGGCCTTGTGGGAAACAAGTCCATCCTGCGTGTGCTATCCAAAAAGCGACTTGCACCTGAAGTCCTTCAGAGCTGCTCACACCCAGCCACCAGGGCACCACCTCACCTCTGCCCCTTTCAGTGAGGTGGTTTTACCTGTTTATGCTACAGTCGCATTCCCCTGTCAGCATTCCAGCCTGGTAGCCCTGGACACCCCAAATAGGTTTTTTAAATTTGCATAAGTTTACCACAGTACAGTGAATTACTTTGTATGGCTTTTCCAGCCACAGTCTTTGTGACTTCCACCAAATGATGGGTTGGAATATGCAAATTTGAGGTGCTTGGGGTCCACCAAGGGGCTCTATAGCTTGTTAGTAATGTAAATTAAGGCACTTAGCACCTTGTGGGGGTTGTTGTTGTTGTTGTTGTTAGGTGCCAGCGAGTCATGTCCGAATCATAGCAACCCTATGCACAGCAGAATGAAACACCGCGCAGTCCTGCACCAGCTCCATGATCCTTGCTATATTTGAGCCCATCATCGCAGCCAGTGTGTCAATTCATCTCACTGAGGGCCTTCCCCTTCTTCCTTGACCCTCCACCTTACCAAGCATGACATCCTTCTCCAAGGAATGGTCCCTTCTGACAACATGACCAAAGTAGGTGAGAGAAAGTCTGGCCATTCTCGCTTCCAAGGAGTATTCCGGCTGCACTTCCTCCAGGACAGAC